TATACCAACCACTTAGTCTTAACCATTGGTTTTTCACCATCAGAATGTGCAAGGTTGATGGAAGATCGACAAAAATTGAGGAATATCGGCAATATTAACTTCTAATAACCCATAATAACAACATGCTTGTATCAACACTTCAACCAATAAAGTATTTTTTTAACAGTTTCCTTTAATAACTTAGTAACCTAGTTAGAGTTCCGTGATTGGGTCACTTTGGGCGATATAATCTATGAAAGTGATATTTACTAGTAATATTTAAATATTCTCATTTTCAGGGCCAACAATTGGAAAAAGACATTCCCAAGTTCTTATCCTTTCTATTTTGCTAACTTGTTGTTTTGTTATCAGAACAGCATTGACTGTGGCGATAGTAGCCATGACTGATCCAACAGCCAGCAGCAACAAAGACATACCGGTGAGTTATTTATTTGGTTAATTTAAGAAATTAGAAAAAATAACTACATGAAATATCCATCGTAATTTTTTATTTGTCTCTGTCTTTATGTTTCAACTATTGGCTACCCTCAAGGCAATTTTGGGCTTTTATTTACGAACTATTTAAAAAATCTTATGGTTTTATGTTGCCTAGTCGTACTCTTCTTTGTACATTCTTTATAAGCATCTATAAAGCATTTTTTCCCTGAAAGGACCTTTCTATCGAGGTTATTGAGCCCAATTTAGAAAAATTTTAGTCAGTTTTCTCTACATTTTTCTTTGGAGAGTCAGTAGAATAATTTTCAGGTTCTGTTCTAGATTTTTTTTGTATATTGTCCAATTTTTTTTCAGGCTATTGTACACGAAATATTATCAATACGGGGCAGTGCACTCATACACTGCCGACTTAATCTTCTAGTGTTCGTCAACTCTCTAGAGCATCATGTAGGCAACACTCTTTCCTATGTATTGTGACGGTAGCTTTTTCGGAGCGATTAATATATATTATATTATATATTATATTGTGATCAAATTTTGTAAGAAATCAAAACCACCCAAACATAAACAAAATTTCTACTCTAAAAATGCGGAAACACTTAATACACTTTTGCCACCCACTGAACTGTCAATAAAATTTGAAGTATTTCCGTATCAGTTGCGTACAATTGTCTTAACAAATTTAGTTAAAATTATTATTTTGTGGAATATTAGATGTAAAGAGTTATTTCGTAAAATTTATATTATTCATAATAACAAATGTTTTTGGTTATTTATATTCAATATAATTCTAAAATTTCTAATATAATGATGATTACATTTTTCTGATTATTACACTATGTTGTCGCCTATGAAAGATCGAGTAGTTCCGTATGGGTTTTGTATTATTAGCTGTTAGGAAAATTTGAAGTTTAAGGTTGATGTTCTGGAAATGTTTTTGGTTATTTATTCAATATAATCTAAATTTCCAATATAATGAAGATTACATTTTTCTGATTATACACTATGTTGTCGCCTATAAAAGATCGAGTAGTTTCCGTATGGGTTTTGTATTATTAGCTGTTAGGAAAATTTGAAGTTTAAGGTTGATGTTCTGGAAATTTTAAATACAAGTAACTTCACTTTGTAGAAATAGTGACGTACAAGTGTTTTACTTTGAAAAATAGTATAGATCCAGTGGGAGTTTATCATCCTAATTTTTTCTATCAATATTTTGCTTCAAAATATGAATTTGTAAGTTTCAGAATATCTATCTTACAGTTATTTAGTTTACTAAAAGGTCACCAAAGGAAATATAGCTTATAGCTTCTAAATATTTTCAACAACCACAGTGCGTTTTTTTTTTTAAATGTTGCTTGTCTCTATTAAATAGGAAATATGAGTTGTCTTAAATAATTTTCTTTTCGTAGACTTACAATTGGACGATAAAAGCTTAGTGATGGCCTCATTTTTATGGGGTTACTTCATTTCCTCAAGTAGCCGCAGGATACTTATCTGATAAAATATGGCGGTAAATGGTTCTTGGTTGTAAGTACCTCGATCACTGCAACAGCCGGTCTCATGATACCTTCAGCAGCTCTATATTTTGGCTCAAAGGGGGTAATGGTTTGCCGATGTTTACAAGGTCTATCTCAAGGATTTTTGTTTCCGTCAATGCACGGAATATTAGGCAAATGGATACCTGTTCCAGAGAGAAGTAGACTGGGCACATTTGTTTATTCAGGTAAGATCATCTTATTGTTTAAAAAAGAAAGTAACTTCATTAAACAAGATAACGGTTCTAGAAGAAACATGGGAATCTAAAAAAAGTGGAGCAGTAGGCGGTACTGTAGATTAGCGCGAAGCTTCGTATGTTTTCTGTATTTTTAAAATTTAAATAATATATTTAAAACTATTTAAAATATTTATTATTTAAAATAAAGTAATTTAATTATCTATTTATTATATTTTAAAAAATTCAATAAATTATTATGCCTGCCATTAACGCCACCTGTTAACTTATTAACAAAGCTTACTTTGTTTTTTTCTGACATACCCTGTCAAATTCAGACCAAATATTAAATTAATTATAATATACAAATAAATAACCTTTGATAGTGAATAATATAAACTAAATAATATGTTTTAAATAAGTAAAACGGTGTTACTTTGCACCATTTTTGGTAGTTTTATTTTCTTGAATGGAAATAACGTCACTCGAAAGAGATCTGAACTTTGTATTATAAATATCTATTAAACAGGTGTAATATAGCTCGTATTATTGATATGTTTAGGCATATTGCATATTAAAAAAACAAGTTTTATTAGTGGTGTAAAGTATACTCTAGAAAAGTGATACTTTTCACCACTCAATATTTTAATATTTGGTTAGGAAATGCTTGCTCGTGCATAGTAATCCTATGGGTTTTTAAACTTTGCACCAACTAAATGAAAAAAAAAAGGTGTGTTGGCCCAGTTTTTTTTTTACTTTAGCTCCTTGGCCTCCTTTATTTTTTGCTTTGCCCTTGCTTGTCTGTGGATAATCTTCTCCATACACG